TATATATATATATATATATATATATATATATATATAATGTTCTGATTCTCAGAAATTTAAACTCAGAAAGGTAACTGGTTAAGAAAACAATTAAACCTTAACTGTGCAGGATCCGGTCAAAGCTGATGCTGGCCATGTGGGAGTAGAACAATATATTTCAGAGACTTTTGATAATTGGGTGTCTTTCCGCCCACAGTACATGATTGGCTCCGGCAACAACAAGGACTGCGAAGAATGGTTCTTTGACCGTAAGAATATATAGAATTTATATATATATATATATATATATATCGCTTTGGAACATATATGATCTTCAAACTCAAGCATATAAAAGTTTCTTATTCAAGTTTTGTGTCTTGGTGACGGTCATGGGCATCGAGAATAGTTCTCGCAATCACATTTGGTAAACAGGAAAACAACTAAATAAATTACTCTTGATGTTTTATCTAACTACAAAAAGGATACAATTCTTTAATTTTTCAAGTACCACATGTACTCTTTACTTGTTTTTGCAAATCATCCCTGAAAACACTGAGATTTAGAAGAATATAGACTAGACAAAATCTTAAAGGGTATTTCTTCATTATTCTCTCTATGGGAAATAGTGTACCTTATGATTTTGAGCTCCATTCAATTCATGACAGGCATCGTCAGAGGCCGACCTGTCCTGATTCCCGGCTCCGGTATGCAGTTAACAAACATAGCCCACGTGAGAGACTTATCATCCATGCTCACTTTAGCAGTCCAAAATCCAGAAGCCGCAGGCGGAAAAATATTCAACTGTGTTAGTGACCGTGCTATCACACTCGATGGCATGGCCAAATTATGCGCTCAGGCAGCTGGGCTGCCTGTCGAGATAGTGCATTACAATCCAAAAGCAGTTGGAATAGACGCAAAAAAGGCTTTTCCTTTCCGAAACATGGTATCATTTCAATTTTTTTCTTGAAAAAGCTAGAAAGTTTGACTGAAACATAAGTAAAATCTGGAAATTCTGTTGTGGGATGTAACATAACATGCCTTTTATTTCGCAGCATTTCTATTCCGAGTCATGGGCTGCAAAGGAGATTCTTGGGTGGAGTGGGACGACAAATCTACCCGTAGACTTGAAGGAGAGATTTGAAGAATATGTGAAGATCGGTAGAGACAAGAAGGAAATTAAATTCGAGACAGATGATAAGATTCTTGAGGCACTCAAAGTACCTGTGGCAGTATGATCATTAATAATTCATAATTATCATTGCCAAGGCAACCTGTGAAACGGATTACATGGGTTTGAGATTCCGGAGGCAAGTGTAATTTCGTGAATTTTCCCCTGTTAAAGAATTAATACAATTTTCCCAAGTTTGGTAAATTTCAAGTGTGAAGCAATATATACTCTTTTTGTGCGCTTCAGCATGGTATTCCAGCAATGAGAAACAATATCAAGATACCAAATTTAAATAATATCTTTACCCCAACTTGTCTGTATATCTAATTACCAATTCATGCCAAAACTCATCAATGCAGATACTAAAGTTTTACGCTAATATAAACATGCGTCCAGTCTGAACTAATAGAGTAAAGAAGTTTTCATCAAAATCCCAAGAACAAACCACAAGAGAGTACATAAGCCAAACAGAACTAAGCACATTTCTTGCTAAGACAATAATAATCAGATGAGGCATACTGATACAACAAACTCACGTCGGCAAAAGCTAAGCTAAAAGCGATTTCCAATCCTCACTCTTCCTGTTTGATATCGAGGCCTTTGAGTTTAGACTCTAATTCGAGCCCCACATCGCCATTTCCTTCTTCCTCCTCTTCATCATAATCTTCTCCTTCTGGGTCATTATCGTCCAGAGGACCAAGAACATTCGGGCAATTCTTGAACAGATCCCTCACCTCATCAATGCCTTCGTCTGATATATAATTCCCATCAATATTCAGCAACGTGAATCCTGGTTTACCCACAACAGCCTGGGCCAACCGCCTGGCACCAGCCCTCCTCATCAAATTGGTGTTCATGTCCACTTCACATAACTGGCCGTGACCCTCTTCAAGCGCCTTGGCAATCAAAATAGCACCCTCGTCCTTCAATTCATTCTCAGACAGGTTCAATTTTGCAAGAAATTGCTTGGAAGCAATGCACGAAGCCAAAGCAGGTGCAGCTTTAGCAGTAATTTCATTTCCAGCCATATCCAGAACTTCAAGAGATGGGGCAGATTTCTTTAGAGCATCCGCAAGTGCAATAGAACCCTCATCCTCCAGATTCAAATAGCTTAGATAAAGCTCGGATAAATCGGAAAACGCGGAAAATGCTTCGCTCAGGGAAATCCCGGCATCAACACCGAACAAATTGTCACGCAAATCCAGTTTCTTCAAATGCTTACATTTTTCAAGAGCTTTAGCTAGGGCAACACCTCCCTCGGATTCCACCCTTGTGGACGAGCACCTGAAATCTTCTAGCAGGGGAGAATTATTCACAATTTTGGATATGGCTATGGCCCCTTCATCTCCAGTCATGTTGTTATGAAACTGAAGGACTCGCAATTTATCAGTAGAGGGAATCAGATCATAAAGAGCCACAGCAGCCTCCTCAGAAATTCCATCGTTGATCAAATACAGTTCCTCCAAATTACATTGGGACTTCAAAAGCGCCCCAAATGCCCTGACACCCTTCTCACCTAGTGCATTATTCGAAAGGTCAAGATAGCGCAAGTTAGAACCCTCGAGTGCTGAAGAAAATATACCCATGACCTCAAGAGCCTCCTCCTCATTCCTTCCCGCCACAAAATCCGATAGATCAACTTCAGTCAACTGATCCTTGATGATCGATAAAATGGGCCCCGCGACAAGAGCAGCCTCCTTGCCAAAACTCGTGTTACTAAAACAAATCCTGTTATATTTATTTCCAGGCTCCTTCAAGTGTCTCAGCAACTTCTCAGCATCGGCAGCATCAATGACTTTCCGTGGGTCCCCGGATATATCAAAGGTGGTCCCTCCGCATTCTTTGATTTTAGCTGATATGCTGTCGAGTTCTTCATTCGCTTTTGGGGTGGGGCCTCGTTTGATGGCCTCGATCATGAGCCTGCTGGATTCCTTGGCGTACAACTCCACGGCCGAGCTTCCATCCCCTTCTGGTTCCTTTGTGAAATGTTTGTTGGCCTCGGCAAAAGCAGATGACTCAATTTGTTTGGCATCTTCCTCAGCTTCTTTTAAGCTCAAGAGACCATATTTTCTGGACCATATGGAGGGTGTCGTGAGATTCTTGGTCATTCGCTCAATTAGCTTTAGCCTCGTTCCTTGGGATGGAGGCCATAGTTTCACAGAGAGCGTGGAGGTTTCCATTCTGAGAAAAACAAACCTAAAATATTCATATTTTAGAACTGAGTAAACACATCGATGGCTTTGAAAATTCATAAGACGCCATAACAAAAAAAAAAATGGAAAAAAAAGGACGGTTCTCTAGAGAGTATCACACTGTTCATACCATTCCTAGAACCCTAATTCAGATCAAATATCATAAACCCCTAAAATCCCAAATGAGAAAAGGCAAGCTTGTTCTGATTGACAAATGAAAACACTCGGTCACAACATTAAAAA